TGGCCTGTAATGAGAGAGGAGAATCTGTGCTCTAACCACATCTTGCATCATCAAGAGTCACATACTCTTCATGTTTCACTGTGTGTGGGACTGTCTCCATTATTCAAACGGAAATATTGGGTTTTATACTTAATTTATCATGTTGGAAATAAAAAGTTAATTTAGGTTTTATTCTAACTTTATATATATATATATATATATATATATATATATATATATATATATATATATATATATATATATATATATATATATATAAATATACAAATTACTTTAATATCAACCACATTGCATTGAGTGATAGAACAGCATGGTGCATATTTAACAAGGTTGAATACTGAAAATAATAAAATGAAATTAAATACATAAATAAATAAAATAGCATACTAAACTATACCATTGAAATCTTTAGGTCATTTTTTCAAATGTTTATCATGCACCTTTTTCAAAAATGTAGTTTTGCCCAATGTGATTAAACCAGTAGTTTTTCTCTAACTGTCAAACAAGTGAAAGAATAGTATTGACAATGTATTTAATTTAGTAAGTAGCCTATGGTTTTTTCTTTCTATTAATCAAAGATTTCTGACAAAATCTATGACCGTTTCCACAACAATATTAAGCAGCACAAATGTTTTCAACATTGATAATAATAAAAAAACAATTATTGAGCAGCAAATCAGCATATTAGAATGATTTCTGAATGATCGTGTGACACTGAAGAGTGAAAATTCACCTTTGCCATCACATGAATAAATGACTTTTTAAAATATATTTAAATGGTTCATTTAAATTGAAATAATATTTCAGTTTTTACAGTATTTTTAATCAAATAAATGGATAAACAAATAAAAAAAAGCATGATCACACACGTTCAATCCGATACACATAAGAAAAAAAAATGGACTATAATTGCATGGCCCCTATTCATTTTACCAATAATCCCCCTTTTCTATGCCAAAGTTTTTGCGCATGTTTACACAAGGTAGATATTTGTTTCTCCTCCCAGGGCTTTGGACACAAGCGCAGCGCTGTATAACCAGCATGAGTGTAAACCCCCAGCAGGGTGATGAGGGCCGCCTGACTCGCATCCACAATAGACTCCCAGCTCAAACACACTGATTCCGACTGTCAACCCACAATAGCAGAGGATTAAGACGCTAAATATCCACCCAACCCACCTTGACATGTTGACATGTTCTGCTAAGTGTGTTTCAAGGTGGATTTACGTACATTTGTTCCATTTCGAAAGAGAAAGAAATGCTGAAAGCGTGTCGCTTTTCTCTCAGTGAACGACGGGGATGGCTTTTCCCTTAATGGCTGTGGAGAGAGCTCGGAGTTAGGAACGTTTTAGGGGTGACAACGTTAAGAGTTTCAGGGTTTGTGAGAGCCCCGTCCTTAAGCAAACAAACAGAGAGGAATTTCTGCCATTGTTGTTGTGCAGCTTTGACTGACAGGTCGGCATTGCCGAGGAGCCTGTCAGCGAAGACAGCGAGAGGTCATACCGTGACCACCCCTGCTGAGAGAGAACTCCTCAGAGGAGCTGACCTTACACACATACACACACACACACACATTTAAAAATTTAGGGTCTGCAAGGTTTTTACTTTTTTTTTTAAAGAAGTCTCTTATGCTCACCAAGGCTGCATTTATTTGAGTAAAAATAGTTAAAAAAAAATAATATTGTGAAACTATTCTTTTTTAAATGTCATTTATTCCTGTGAAGTAAAAGCTGAATTTTCAGCATCATTACTCCAGTCTTCAGTGTCACATGATCCTTCAGAAATCATTCTAATATGCTGATTTGCTGCTCAAGAAACATTTCTAATTATTATAGTGTTGAAAACAGTTGTGCTGCCTAATATCTTAGTAGACACTGCGATATATTTCAGGATTCTTTGATGAATAGAAAGTAAAAACAGCATTTATTTGAAACTGAAATCTTTTGTAACATTATAAATCTTTTGCCGTCACTTTTGATCAATTTAATGCATCCTTGCTGAAAAAATATTTCTTTCAAAAAATAAAACTCATACTGACACCAAACTTTTGAACCATATTAGCTCTGTCTCAAATCCTAGTGAGCGTAACCTTAATAGCATTTTAAGAACACATAGGCACTACAGTCACAAAGGTAGAAAGCAACATTAAGCTTTCTCAGATATCTAATTTTGACCAAATGCTATTCTTGTTGCAATCCCAGAATGCATTGCAACAAGTTCCACATGGAGTTGAGTCAAGAAGAGCGAAACGCTAACGAAAAATAAAACATTTCTTTAAATACTGAAAAGTATTGGTGAAATAAAAGGTACAATAATATAAAATTTGACTATTTTAGCTATACAATTTGTGTTATGCAGTTTTGTTTATTATATCCTTATTGTGTTGTTAATATGCCAAAGCCACATTATATTAAAATCAATTGCGAGTTCTGTCCTCCATGTGGTTCACGTGAATTTAGTGTACACTTGAAGTTGCTGCCTATTTAGTGTGCTCTAAATCAATCACTTAAGAATCCATGACAGTTAGGATGCCGCTTTTGAGCTAATTTTTGCACTGATTTTTCATTGTTTTTCTATGTAAACATCCTAAAACGCTTAGTATGTCTTGCAACGTGGCGCTCAAGTTAAAAGAAGTTAAACTTTTAAAAAACGCGCCTCTAGACCGTCCATTTTCATTCCACTTATCTGTGTCTCACATTTTACATGCAAAAAAATTCTGTGTGAACAGCCAACCAACTGAAAATCTCTGGGTTTTTAAAAATAAAGTTGAACTACTTTTAACTTGACATGCCTTAAAAGTGCAACACTCTGTAAGACGCTGCAAAAAAAATAAAAACACGACACAATGGCTGAAAAACACGATTATATAGGAAGTAGTCAGTGAGGTTGCTCACAAAGTAAATACACACCATCTGAAAAAGAAACAGAAGACAGAACAGAATCTATCATTATTTTAATGGTGCAACTGTACACTTGTATATTTTATTACACACATATAAATGATCCAGTGCAAAACTTAAGCCAAATCAGGCTTTTCTATTTACAGAAATAAATGTGACGCCAGGTGACATCAGACTCGCCCTCTCCAGTTTTGGCTTTTAGTGCAAGTCATCATTAGCTGGGCCCTTGAAAGTTGAACCCTGACCCTTCACAGTGTGTGTGTGTGTGGGGATCGGAGCTGCTGTCTCAAGCTGGCCTGCGGGTAATGTGTCTAAAGCACATTTTATCAACATTTGAGTGAGACAATCAATGCCGATAACGGTTTTATTTTCAATTTCATATGTAACATTTAGATTTCACATTTACAAATGTGAAAATGTCAAAGTTTGACCGGTAACATGACAATTACGCTGGTGTATCTGTACACTTTGGAGAAATAAGCGGCCGCATATTTCTGTGTTGTGGCGCAGCTCCGCCCACCGCCTGTGAGTGTGTTGTGTGTGTGTGTGTGTGTGGGTTGATAGAGCCAAGCTGTTGGTGGTAGTGTGTTGGGGTCAGGGTTCTTCAGTCAGCACCCCGTCCCTGAGTCGAGCACACGGTACCCCCCTCTTCCCATCAGTCCTGGGTACAAATAAACCTGGTAGCGCAGTGCTCCTCTCCACAGCAGGCTGTCACTCCTCTCTCAGGCTCATTAATCAGAGCCAGGGCAGATTAGACTTCAAACAAAAACAAACTCCAGATATACCGTTCTTCCAACACGGACCCTCACTCCCAAGTCTATGGCATTCTCATGAAACCAAGTGAAATTTTACACAATGCAAAGTATTCGTGTGAAACCGTAGACATATCGGCATTATTAAAGAAACAGAAGGTTTAGCAAATGTTAAACCCAAAAATAAAATTTCTGTCATCATTTACTCATCTTTATCTAGTTCTAAACTTGTATGAATGACTTCAGTAGAACATAAAACTAAAAGAAAACATTTTGAGAGAAGTCTCCAAACCAAAACTGTTTGGCAACCAACGTTCTTCAAAATATCTTCTTTTGTGTTCCGTCGAAGAAAGTAAGTCATACAGGTTTGGAACAACATGAGTAAATGATGACAATTTTCAATTTTAGGTGAAATATCCCTTTAAGGATGGGGCATGAGGCATTGAAATCTTGACTAGGGTTTCTTACGCTGATTTCATATTCATTTAGCATACAGCAGGTATAACTACAGAACTAATAGAACAACTTGAGCGACTATGACTTGTCCAGGTGTTTTATATGTTTTGAATATCTGTTTTTTTAACTGCATTACAAATGCAAATGCCCAGATTAACTTTATTACCCATTTTACTAAACAATTGAAGTGATATTTTGTCCAAAAATGTAAATTGTGCCATTATTTACTTCCCCTCATGCTTTTCCAAACCTGTATTTCTTCTTTTGTGTTACACAAAGAAATAAAGGCTTCCATGGAACAATTATTCTGGTGGCTCATTTCCATGCTACAATGAATGAGCCTGAAACGTTTTAAAGCTGTAAATATAGAACATAAAATAACCATTATAGAATCATAAAAGTTGTTAATATGTCTCATGAGCTATATTCCAAGTCTTCTGGAGTCATATGATAGCTTTGTGCGAGGAACAGAGGAAACTGTTACACTTTTAGGTTGAGTTTGAACTTGAGAATCGTATCAGTGCAATTCGTGAATTAATTATTCAGGCCGGTTTTGTGACCTGGACCAATCAAATTATTGAAAAAAGAAAAAAAGATTTGTTCGTAAATCCAGCACCGCTACTTATCTCATGAATGCAGCAAAGAGACAGTCAATAACAACTTAAATTTCATTATGTTCCATACACAAATCTATCATACGACTTCAAAACGCATGGAATACAGTCGTACGGGTCACTTTTATGATGCTATTGAATCCTTTTTAAAGTTTGAAAGCCTCCTTGTAATTTAATGGACAAAGAGCAACCAGTACAAATCTAAATTCCTTCATCAGTGTCCTGACGAATAAATCAAGTCATACGGGTTTTGATCGACATGCCAGTGAGATGAAAAATTTTAAATCTTGCATTACAATTAGATTTGCATCTGCTGACATATTATATATCAGTATGTTTCAAAATGCACATATGCTTTTCATACTATATCTGGTTTGAAAGTACACAGATTCCCAGTCACAAAATGAATTGAACTTCTGGGAATAGTTGCAGTTTAACTTCCCTCAAAGCGGGCGGCAGCACCATGGGCCAAAGCTATTAGCCAAGTACACAAACAACAGATAAGCTAAACCTATGGAGCGATAAATGCCCAGTAAGTGTTCAATTAATCTTAACATTCTGCCAGTGATTAACTGTGACTTGAATTCATAATGACTACTCAGCTCTGAGATTATTATCCCCACGTGCGAGTGAAGAACGGGGGAAAAGGAAGCAAACACTGCCACCTTTAGGTCGCCGGTGGTACTGACTTCTTTTAGGCTTTAAGCAGAGACATCAGGGGCAGGAGAGTATGTTATTGTACTGCGTACTCTCTGCTCCCGCTGTGCACTGGGGAACCTCCTGAAGTCCAGGACTAAACAAGCGCTCACTCTGTCCACGACCGGGTTCTGCGTTTGAGTGACACGCCGCTCACCGAGTGTTTGTCTACGTCCCTGGGAAAAGGGGTGGTGTCAGCGCAGCGACGGGCCTATCCCATCCATCAGTGTCAGGAGTGGCGCATGACTAATGGACAGGAAGTACAACCAGAGAAACAACAATATTTGCAGAATATATTTCAGAAACATTAGGCCACTTTCTCCAACGGTTCTTATTTCAGCAAACTGTAAAGGGGGCTTAATCCTGATTTATGGCCGTGTTTATCTGTTCGCAGCGGCGCTTGCGGTTCGTGTTGCTCTAACCTGGATCTGTGACCGTATTCTGTAGAGCAAACGTGAGGACCTTATTGGATTATCTTCACTTGTGGTGAAAAGCTAGCCGAACTCCCCTGGATTTGGTTTAAAAGTGATGACTCATAGAGGTAAAGTAAAGAAGCACGTACTTGTTAGCACTGACCTCTGGAATTATCATATGAAATATCATATTTTAAACTGAAATAGATTTGCATTCTGTGGTCATTCGAAGATCAAAGATATGGCCCTGATGTGCACACAGACGAGATCAAAACGGAAGAGGTTTTAAAGCAAAGACTGAAAGAGAGACTTGCTGAATTTTCATGAGATGCTTCCTGTAACTCCATAACTCACATGATCATAACCCTGTTTACTGGTTCCCGTGTGCTCGTGTGATCAGGGAAGGGATGCTTAACCTCAGCAGCCCGTTACCGTGGCGTCAAGACCGGAGCGTTTAGTGATGTTGAGTTTGGTGAGCTCCTCGGCGCAGGTGGGGTGTATCCCGACCGTGTTCCTGAGGTGTCCATAGGTAAGCCCACACCTGCAGATATAAACACACAGACGCTGTATTCATTCGCCCACAGGTGTTGTAACTCACACTGATTTGAATTTACACGCAAATGTGCGTGTAATGAAACAGACACCTGGGTGATATCAGAGGAAATCAAATCAAATGAATGTAATCTGACTCCAGCTCGACATCACGTGCAGGTTAACGGGGACGTGGAACTTACTGGAAGCCCAAAGAAAAGCCCTGTGTGACCTCACCGGCGTTCGGCCCAGTAAAATGCAGACCCAGCACGCGCTGCTCACCCTCCCGTAGACAAATCACCTGCAGGAAAGAGAACATTAGTTATTAGTTAATAATTGAGATATGACGACCATCCTTATTTGAACTTCCAAAGAAATTGATCCTTTTACTCTCCAAGGATGCAAGATTATCAAAGAACCCTACACAATAGTGGCTCCACAACAGCTCAACACCTTAAACTTATAGTATTAAAACTCAATTTATATTTTAAAACCCTTTTTTTAGCAGCCATTACTCCAGTCTACTAAGAAACCGATACATAATCTTTATGAAATGTGCTGATTTGCTAGTTGAGAAACCTTTTTTATTCGCATACCTAAAAGCGGCTGTAATGAATAATCAATCCGAAAAGTGCAATTCAATGTCTTTTTTGCAGTTGCTTGTGTATTATATATTATATATATATAAGGCCCAAAAATACAAAAAAATACTAGTTCTTTTGAGAAATGAAACTATTTCTTGCACTACTGACATGAAAGAGGATGGTAAAATAGTATTGTGGATGGATAAATAAATAGTTAAAAAAATATTACAATATTACTGTTGACTAGATTTAGATCAATTAAATGCTATTTCAGAGAAGTGTCAATTTCTTTAAAAAATAGTCTTAGTGTGTATATATATATATATATATATATATGTGTGTGTGTGTGTGTGTGTGTGTAACTATTTTAAAATACCTTTATATAGCATTGAGTGGCATCTCTCTCAGCCACAGTGAACTCGAGCGGTTTGTAGAAGGCATGGTACACCTGTTAAACCAGACAAAACAAAAACTATGATACACCAACAACGACATCATGTCCTGAATCATCAACCACTTGAGCTCATCATTTTACAACAAGCACTTGGAAACAAGTGCTGCTACTGTTATGTTTGTGTCTGTTACTAAACATTTTTTAGGTGCTGAAATCATCATTATTGAACAAGCTTCAGAGTGAGCGCTCTGGCGTGCCGACACATGCTGCTCACAGCTGTCAGGGCCAATTGGATACTGCATTTTTGATCATCTCTCATCAACCTCTACAAGCATCAGTCAGCCCTCCTGAACACCTGTCAATCAAACCAGAGGCACAGCCCTCTCTGAATGCTTTAGGCTTTAGAGCCATGCAGGTGTGCAAGTACCCAGTATACACATACACACAAGTATACAGTAATGTGCTTGCTTGGCAATTGTACAGAGCCCACAGTTAGGATAATGAACTATATTACTTGGTGGAAGAATTGTTCACCCTATATTGCAATATTAATTGCATGTATTGAACATGTATTGCTGCTGCTGCCATTTTATAACTGCACTTCACATTGTATCTAATAGCACCCATGGTAAAATTGCTGTATTTTACCTCAATCTGGTCTTTGCCGTGTCTCTTTTCAGCCTCTTCTTCAGACAGACCTACACAGCCGTACTCTAGTGGAGTGAACACTGTAGTGGCCACCTACACACACACACAAATAATTTAACTGGAGAACATCCATAATAAAAAATGACAAAAGCAGCACTAGAAGGTTGCATTGTGTTTTTTTGTTGCACCAAGACATTTTTGTGACAGTATTCTAAAACTTAATTCTCCTTACTGTCCAGTCATTTCAATTTTGAGTTAATACGTAATTCCTATTAAATTTTCTATGATTACATTATCATAAAAATTACTGTAATGTAGTCACACACACACACACACACACACACACACACACACACACACACACACACACACACACACACACACACACACACACACACACACACACACACACACACACACACACACACACACACACACACACACACACACACACACACACGTGTGTGTTTGTATATTTTTAAATGTGTGTGTGTGTGGATTAATCTCACAAAGCCTGTCAAAAACATATGAAAATTAAAAATATATAAAAAAATTACTGTAATATAATTACACACACACACACACACACACACATGTATATATTTTTAAATGTGTGTGTGTGGATTAATCTCACAAAGCCTGTCAAAAACATGAAAATAAAAAAAATATATATAAAAAATTACTGTAATGTAATTATACACACACACACACACACACACACACACACACACACACACACACACACACACACACACACACACACACACACACACACACACACACACAAACACACACACACACGTACACACACACGTGTGTGTTTGTATATTTTTAAATGTGTGTAATTACATTACAGTAATTTATATATATATATATATATATATATTATTTTCATATGTTTTTGACAGGCTTTGAGAGATTAATCCAGAAACAAAGAGAGAATGAGAACACATGCGTGTAACGAAAAACTCACATTCTCATAATTCATGAGCTCATCGGAATGGCCCACCAGTCTACGGGCCAGGAGCTTTCCGGCCTGAATGGCTGTCGGGGTCAACTCGGGACGACCCTGAAACAGAGTGTGAGTAGGCTGTGTCAGAGAACATTTACACACACACAAACATGTGTTGTTATTGTTAACTAAAAATACTAAAAAATTACATTAAAAACGTAAATGAAAATTTAAAATGTTGTCTTGGCAACTAACTGAAATAAATTAGGTTAATATTAATTAATATTATAATAGTATACTGTATAAATAATACTAAAATAAACACTAACCCAAGCATGGATGCGTTCAACAGCAAATCTAGTCTACAAGAATTGGGCAGGTCAATTCGCAATGCGCAACAATACAACTGAAAAGATTTAAACGCTAATTTTCTTTGCATTATGTTTTAATGATGTGTCGTGAAGTATAAATCCATGTACGATTAGCCTGATCAGACATTTCAGAGATTAGTATCATTTCAACATTACATGACTGTCAGTCAAGATGATTATTACAGTGCAGAGGTGGACGGCTGCCAATCAGCGCTGTGAAAAACATGCCTACAGTAACAACACAGGAACAAGCAGCACTGCGGGGCGAATTCTCATTCACTGACTAATGCCATCAGCAACCAGTCTGATAACTTCTGTACATCCTGCTGTCCAAGAAACTGCCTTGGGTGTTTGGCTCAGAGAGTGTGTGTGTGTGTGTGTGTGTGTGTGTGTGTGTGTACACCACCCAGGCAGCTGGATAGTAAATGCACTTCTTGGCAGTAACCAGGTGCAGCTCAACATCTAGTTTTCTTTCCTTAAAAAATGATAAGTCATGCACATTGACGTACAAAGAGCTTCTTCTGACTAGTTGTGTAGCGGTGTGTGCCCGCCAATAATCACACAGCTGCTGCAGCTGTGATATTTGATCCCGGTAGCCAGTTGTGTTGGAGATGTTACAGGGCAGCGACCTTCCAGGAGAGCGATTGAACTGACAGACAGGAATATGCTGTAGATGTGTCGATTTCCAGCTGTTCCTTCTCGGCTGAGTTTGATTAGGGCTGGGCGGTATGACGCTATGTGTTTATATCGCACTATGTGAAAATATCTAAGTCACAATGAAATAAAAACCGTAGTATTTATTGTAAACGATTTATCCGTGCACTGCGTTATTAAAAACAAAAAATGCATACACCCTCGTAACCTTTAATCAAAATAACCTCCATTCTCTTCTCTGATGATGTGATTTTTACTGACACGAGGGCGGGACAACCTGTCACTCACATGAGATCACAGCAATAGCAAACCACAATGATCCGATCACTTCCCAATGGACAAATTCAAGTCATGCCCTACATTTTTTCTTGTTTGGGAAGCTGTTCTCTCGATTATATCTCAAAATGAAAACTTCTTTTTCATGCTGACTTTAAAGTTACTGACATGTTAGAGTGATAAAGAAACGTGCATGAATACGAAAATAAAGAGCTAATGTGCTTGATGTTAATAAGAGTTATTAAGCCCAAGTCAAGAAAAAAAAGAACTCAATGTGATACTCGCTCTGATTGACACACACTCGAAGCACGCACACAAAAAGTCGCCTCTCTAAGACAGCATGCAATCCCAAATTCAGTCTCTTTGCGCTTAAATGGTCAAATAGACGTAATTATGTTGATCCATGCATTAGGTCTTAAAGTGACAGCAGCCTAATAAACCTGCTGGTGTCTGTATCTAGTGTTATGGGTAACACATTATGTAATCATTAACAACAGTGATGTAATCAGAGTAAGACATTCCTCTTGACTGAATCATTTTTGTATCTTTAATAAGAATAGATTACAATACAATGTTTTTTTTGTTTTTTTGTTTTACATTTGATTATTCAGTTTCTGCAGTATTTCTTACTACATGTTAAATAAACCTACTGTAACTGAAAAACTCGTATCATGAAATAGGATTTCGGTCATATCGTCCACCCCTTCCCTACTAGTGCATTATTGATGACATTCATTCATAGCGCCTACCTCACCGATGTCTCCGATTGCAAAAATATTTGGCACAGATGTGGCTTCATCAGCGGCCAAAATTATCTTCCCAGTTTCTTTGTTGATCTCCACGCCAACCTTCTCCAAATTGAGGGTCTTGGTTTCAGGGGCTCTGCCTAAACTCAAAGAGAAGAAAGCAATGACAGTTAGCGCTGACAGTTATCGGACAGCTTTTGGATGCTTTAGGCTGGAGTTTATCGCTCAGCCTGCTGGGAGAATTTAAGGGTGGCTTTACACTCTGAGATTAGAGGGCAAAATCTTATCCAGTGATTAGAAACGAAAACACAAGCACAGCTGAGGTGGTGGTCTGACGGAGGGCGTAATGAAGAGACCTGGATGCATATCCCATCAGCCACCTGGGGCTTGTGGTGTCATTTCTGTCACTTCCTATCCGAGGGCTGAGAGAGGCTGTCGACACTTGTCCATCTCTGGCCCCCTTCCCCCATTCACGGCGTCTCAGACACGCACACACACAAGACTCGAGTCCCAATGCCTTCACAGGTATCACAATAAACAATGTTTGCAGCAGAAGCCAGAGGTACCCATGTAGATGCTATCAGACAGCAAGAAAAACAAACCGTAAGCCCCTTTTCCTGCCTCAAGCACAGAAACAACTTCCTTCTGCTCGACTACAGTGAGACCTGAGACACAGATATGAGTATGCATGTACACATCGATTACCCAGAGAAAGAGTGAGAGATGGTGAAACAAAAATAAAACACATTTTTCTTCAAATTGAAGTCTGAAGCTGGAGTTATATTGGCTAAGTAAAACTACTTACGACTAATTTGTTTTATACATTAAGTAAATTAAAAACACTAAATAGCATTTGGAAAACATTGAATGCTGATACACAGTTTCTGTGTGTGCCAATAATAGCAGCAAACGGAACTGAAAAAACGGTTTCTTAACAGGTGTCCCAAACTAATTTAGAATTACATTTCTACTTTTTATAAATTTTTTTGTGATTGGTCATAATTTAAATTCAGAGTGAAACTGTACTGTAGGAAAATTTGTTACACTAGCAGAAAAAATTATTTCAGAGGCGTTATTCATTTGTATGTACATAATATATACGTCTTTGAATTAAAGAACATGACATTTTAATGACTTTAGAGTAAATTGAATCATTCACAGTAAACATGGAACTGTAAAGAGAGTATTCTTAATACTTTTGAATTTTGTTTTCTCTCTCTCTCTCTCTCTCTCTATATATATATATATATATTTTTTTTTTGTATATATTTTATTATTAAATTATTAGCAGATAAAACCACTGCACAGTCTTTAGGGCACTTAAATCAAATAAAGAGTGCTGTAAAAATTACACAAAATAATGTTTTTGTACTGAAATTATAAATACTCAATGTAATGGCTAGTTTCCACTAACACCACACAGATTGTCATCAGAAGCAGAACTGTAATGAAAAAAATTATTTCTATGGCTGAGTTTAGAGGATAACGCCACAACAAAGGCTCAGAAGTCCACGAACCACAAGTTCAGTCTAAATGAAAGACATCCTTTGTTTTACACCACATTCCATCAGCAAAAAACCCCTTGAGATATCCTTCACGGCCCGTGGAAAAAGAACGTCCTTGACTTTGTGTGGGCAAAGACCTGATAATAGCGAGAATGTGCATTTTATT